GGTAGGATTTAAATCCAGTCACGTGCCTCACGTGTCTGATTTGTTGAATGCAGATGTGACGTTCACCACCATCACTGCACCAAGTCTTTAACACGTTTTTATAGGCCAGGCTGAGGAGGATTTTTTTTCTCAAAAAGCACATACATTCACTTAGATTGTGGCTCACATCATCTCTCAAACTCATACATAGTTTACTGTATAGTTTGGGATTTTGTGGCCTTACAAATCTCTTCTTTCTTCCATTGTCTTCTACACACAGCTGCTGAAGGTGATGATGTTGGTGGTGATGTTGGCAGTTGTATTGTGTCTGGTGTTTCCATGGCCCTTTATGTGTCCTGTGTGCAGGAGGCCCCTCCAGGCGGCCAGCCCTCATTATAAAGCAGTTTAAACCGCTCAGATCAAGCCGACACCTAATTCTCATTGCTCCTTGTATTCCTGTAAGGGAAGTGCAGAGTGCTGCGATTAAGTCAGTCTGCCTTTGATCTTTACAGAAATGTCATAAAAAAGAAGCTCTTGTTCAGCTTGATCACTTTTTCCTTTAACATGAAGGTTCAACTACGTACACGTGTTGCTGCTGCAAACTAGTTAGCTGAGAGCTGCTGCATGGCTACCTATTTCTCCTGCTACACAGACACCAGGTGTAACCTTGTTGAGTTCACGTTAAAGGATTAAGCAGTATATTTACATTTCTTGTAATGTCATCTTTATTTTCCATTGCTTTTATAAACGCAGTCTTAAAGAGCAGGCGATTTTGAATCATATTTAAAACTTCTAGCTAAGGATAAGCATAAATACAATCAGATTGTTATTCACATCTGCAGTAACAACTACCCATCACGCCAATCGGAGACCACTGAAATTAGGGTTGAGTTAGTGTGTACATAATGCAAAGACAATGTCCGACTCTGTAGTTTTCTCTGGGCCTCTGCCAAATCTGAACTGTGATGACATGTTAAGCCGCATGTCATCATTCCAAAGATAAAGATACTTAGCACACTAATAGTTGGTCAATTTTGATTGCACAAACTTAATACAGATAACAATCAGAAATAAGTATCAGAAATCACACTGACTACCAGTCTTTTTTCCTCAAGCTCAATACAAACAATGACAGATGAGCAGATGAAATTACAGTCATCACAGTGGATATAACAGCTAATGGTAAGCAGATACTCTGGCTCTTCCTTCCGGGGACAGCTGCCTCATTACAGAACTGTGGAAACAAACTATGCCAAAGTATGTGTCCTGTCCATTAACCAACAGGACAACAAAGACAACAAATGGTAAACAACATGCTCAGGGGTTAAATAAGGCACACAGTGCGCTGTTTTCTAGACATCTCAGTGTGGTCCAACTTATTATGTATTTAATCCCATTTTGATGATGTTTACAATATTTTTCTTCGCCCTATACTTCTAAATAAATAGTCAGATCTGCATCCTGGACACTTGAGGTGTAATTAGATTTTTAAACTCTTAACAACACTAATAGTCTACAGAGTGTGAGCCTGGACTTGGACATGGTGCTTTGAGCTAAACACTAACATGAGCATGCCAACATCCTCACAATGACAATGCTGCTGATTAAGCAGGTTTGCCATGTCCACCATTTAGTTTAGCATCTTAGCATGCTGATATAGTTTAGCATGTTAGCATGCTAATATTTGCCAATTAGCACTAAACTCAAAGTACAGCCTCTAAGTAAAAGCCTATGGAAACTATCACCTTATTTTGGTGGAGAGGTATCCTTATGAAACTGAGGGCTGTGTTGTCTGGATCCTGGTGCCCCTGTCTCCCATGGAAAAGTGGACTCGGGAGAGGGGCCAGACTAAGGGCCAATCCCATTTCACCCCTTGCCCATACCCCTTGTTTTCAAGTGTACCCCATGGCCCTTAAAACAGAGTTACAAGTGCCAAGAGGTTGAATTAATCCCCTATGAAATGGAACAACCCTTCAGGAACCGGATAAGTCATCAGTAGTTGACGATGGCTCTGACGTTACATTTACATTACATTTACTCATTTGGCAGACGCTAACAAAAAGTGCAATCAAAACAAAAGAGTGCTATCAATACAAGATCATTGTAGGGGATAGAATAAGAAGAGCACAGGAAGTGATGTTAGTGGTTAGGAGTTGTTATAAGAAGAAGTGTTCTCGGAAGAGATGAGTTTTCAAGAGCTTCTTGAAGTTAGAGAGGGACGCCCCTGCTCTGATGGCGTGTGGTAGCTCGTTCCACCATCGTGGTGTCACAGATGAGAATAGCCGGGACTGGGATTGCTTTGTGTGAATTGATGGCAGAGCCAGGCGGCGTTTGTTGGAGGAGCGTAGCGGCCGAGAAGGAACGTAAGTTTGTATTATGGAATTTTGGTTGATTGGTGCAGACCGATTGTAGCAGTGGTAAGAGAAGCCGTGCGAGCGGTGATGAACTCTATTCTACTCTGGAGTTGCCGAGGGTATGTGTGTGTGCATAAGCACCAAACAGTAGTTCGGAGTATTCTGCCTTCTTGGATACTATGAATGGAGTCCTGCATGGGGCTCCAGTGGGGGACTCCATAGTTCTGCTGGGAGACTTCAACGTGCACGTGGGCAATGATGGAGATAAATGTAGAGGCATGTTTGGAAGGAACGGCTTCCCTTATCTAAACCCAAGCGGTTGTTTGTTGTTAGACTTCTGTGCTAGTCATGGATAATCTATAACAAAAACCATGTTCAAATGTAAGGATGCTCATAAGTGTACGTGGCACCAGAGCTCCCTAGGCTGAAGGTCAATGATCGATTTTGTGATCATGTCTTCTGATTTGAGGCCATATATGGAGGGCGGAGCTGTCAACGGATTACCATCTGGTGGTAAGTTGGGACAGGAGGTGGGAGAAGACTCTGGACAGACCTGGTAAGCCCAAAGGTAATGCGGGTGAAATAGGGGAACATTTCAAAGAGGCCCCTGTCTGAGAGATCTTCACCTCACACCTCCGGCAGAGCTTTTCTGGCTTCCCCGTGGAGGTTGGTGGCATTGAACCTGAGTGTGCAAAGCTTCCATTGGTGATGCTGTGGCAGGGAGGTGTTCCAGAAGGGAGCTGGCCTCCGCCAGGGCTGTGCTTTGTCACCAATCCTATTTGTGATATTTATGGATAGGATTTCAAGGCATAGTTGGGGTGGGGAGGGGTTGCGGTTCAGTGGGGTGGGGATCTCATTGCTGCATTTTTGCAGATGATGTGGTCCTGATGGCATCATCAGTCTTTGACTTCAGCGCTGGATTGGTTCAAGAGAGAGGGTGAGAAGGCAAGTCATCCATGAGGAACTCGGAATAGAGCCGCTGCTCCTTTGCATCAAAAGGAGCCAGTTGAGGTGGTTCTGGGTTTTGGTAAGGATGCCCATCTCCCAAGGGAGATGTTCCAGGCACGTCCAGCTGGGAGGAGGACTCGAGGAAGACCCAGGACTAAGTGGAGAGAATATATGTCCAGACTGACTTTGGAGTGCCTCGGTATCTCTATCTTTATTAAAGGTGTGAGTGTGAGTGTGAGTGTGTGGCATGCAGCATGTGGGTGGCAGGTTGTGTCTTTACAGTGTTCTAAGAAGAGGAAACTTCTCAGTCGGTACGTGCTTCAGTTTCAGCTTTTTAAAAGCATCCTGAGTGCTCAGTGGGGGAGAGGGGCGTCATTTCTCCAATAAAACCAAAGCATCTTGAATGGATTGTACAGTACGTCTGAACAAGGTTTCATGTACAGTAGCTACAGATGCCTACATGTTCACAGCTTTTGATACTTTTAATACCATAAACCTGACAGATACCATTTGACTAGTGTTGAACGGTAAAAAAAACCTTAAAGCAAATAGAAAATGGAACAGTGAACCAGTTAAACCTCTTGTAACCATGAGAGGCCTTTTTATCGTGTTGACCCTCTAGATATAATTCAGTAAACAGTTCAGTTCTCAGTGTAAAATTAGAGAGCAACTCTGACCACAGTGATAATTAGACTGAGACAGTTGTGAGGCCAATCACTCTAATTGTACCTCATCCTGTGGAGAAATGAGTCAGAACTTAGATTTCAAAAAGAAAAAAAAAATGCTTTAGATGCAGTCTTTTGTATTACAGCCTCTACAGCGTCTAACTCGTTCTATAATTTCATTCTATCCACTTAACCATTGGTTTTAGTTGTTTTGCAAGAAGATCAGTCTACAGAGATGTGAAGCTTTCCGCAGATAGATAATCCATCCACAATTAACATTTATAGAGTTTATTTTCAGTTAATGTTAATTTATCATTCTGCATTTGGAAACATCCATATTTTGGTACATTTAAGGAGACTGATATCTGGATTTAAGACATGCCAAACATCAACCTTTTCAAATCATGGTCAATCAGAAGACTTCTTTCAGTCGCCTCTTACTGTCAGTTTGTGCAAAGTGCAACTTTCACAGAGCTGGTGTTCCTAAGCTGCTGCTGCCATTTGGGTTTGGCTGGAATATAAACTGTAATTGTGTGAGGCCTGAAAAATACAAAATAAAAGCCTCAGCAAAAAAACGTCAGTTTCAACTCACAGGATGTGTGAAACCACTGGCCCAGTCTTGCATAATGCAAAAGAGCAGGTCCCTCCTTCAAATGCTGCTTTTGCCTTCTTCTAAAGTCAAGACTAAACACTTATTATCACAACATATTTTAAAACACACTTTTATTCCTAAGCTTTTATCCAAGGAAAGGATTTCTATTTCTGTGGATCAGTGTTGATGTCTATTGTGCACAGAGGCAGTTTACATGCACCAGAGAGACAAATATAGGCCCCAAGCTGACAGAAATGGCAACTTATTGGAGATCTTTCTGGTTTTCATTTAGTAGCTGAGTTGTTGACCCTGATTAAAAGGGTGAAGGTAACACCAAATGAGAGTCAAAGGCCACATCCAAAATGCTGCAGCTTACAAAACCGTCAACTCCTCCCCCCTCTCTCTCACAACAGCAGCGGTACAGCTGCTGAGCTCAAACACTTTTTAGAAACTCTTTAGATCAGCAGCTGTGTGTGGGGGCAGAAGGAAACAGTTTCTTTTTGAAGATTATTAATAACATAATATAATCATTTATTTCGAATAATGAAGGAACTCTCCCTCGACACCTTGCTGCTGTCTTTTGCACATTTATGGCTCCTCTGTTTTCTGGACGGGGCGCGCGCTCAGGAGGCTGCAGGTAATGACGATGCGCTCCAGCGGAGGTTGACATGGCAACATAACGGGCAGGTTTTTAGCATCCTGAGTCACGGCGCTCAGTACCGGCCGTCCGGCAGGAGGCAAACCGTGTTGCCTCGCCGCAATAACCCTGTGATTGTTGTCAGCAGTGGTAACGACACGGTCCCTGCCGTGTCCCGGGGCTCCCCACGGGTCCCCGCCACCAGTAGTGCTGCGCAATTGCGCGCATTGATACGTCAGCAGCAACGGTCGCCGCAGCCGCCGCCCGGCAGCGAGGGAGACTCTGCCACGGTCAGACGGGAGGATATGATGGTCGGAGATGATCCGTACGACCCATACAAAGCTTCTAACTATTATCCCTATTATAACTACTATAACTCCTACTATAGACCCAGACCCAGGACTCAGCCCCGACACGGATACGGCACCAGCTACCACCAGAACGGTACGAAACAAAGTTTTACTCTCTTATGTCGCATCGCTTCTTTTCAGTTTCATCTCATCCTCAGAAAGAAAAGAAAACTTGCCTAATGTGACCCCATAGGTCTGACCTTCATCAGGCAATGTGCAATGACCGAAATCAGTTTTATTATAAGCTAATGTTATTTTCTCTACTAAGTCATTTTTATAATATAAATTTTAAAAAGATATTGTTTTTTATTTCTGTTCAACAAAGGTGTTCAAACTGCATATAAAGATTATACTGCGTTAAGCTGTAAAAGGTCATGAAAGTGTTGTGCATAAATGGCTGTTTTCATAGGCTAATTATTCAAGTAAAGTCATTAAATGCAGGCATCATTTCATATCGATTTTAATGATACACAAATAATTTGTTGGACTTACTTAATCCAGTTATGACAACAATTTCCACCTAACTGTAGTTAGTTAATAATAATAGTTTTATTAAGATGCCCATAACTGACTTATGTGCAACCAACATAAATGTTTTAGGCAATTCCAACATTATCTGGTCATCTTGGATTTAATTAATAGGTTAGTGTCCATAAATTCAACAAAATGCTGTTTCTTTGGCTTTACTTAACTGTGATGATTAATGCCAACATAAAGATATTTCATTATACTGACTTAACTCACTTATGTAAATCTAACTTAACTGTTGGACATCCATTACTCAACTGCATTTAGTAATACCAACTAAACTATACTTTATTCAATGCTAGTCATTTTAAATGGACTTACTAAACCTGATTATGTCAACAATTTCCACACAGTGTAGTTGAGTAAATACAAATCAAACTACTTTGGTTCAATGAAAAAGTTCATTTATTACCAATAAAAAACATTACACTGTAGCACCACCAACCTGGTCAGCTGCCTGAGTTCAAAATAACGGATACCAATAAAGACTGATTTGTATCACCATATCAATCAACATTTTCCATCCTCTTCACAATGTTTTACAATGTTCACAAAAGAGGAAATAAATAGAAAATGGGTCTTAATTCACTCTTACCTAAGATTGCTACCTCTGAGGCTGGTGATTTTCTATGTTCTTCATGTTGTCAACAAATTCTATCAAAAAAATCCAACAACAATGGGATTCTATGGCACAAGGGAGCCTTTGAGAAGTGGTCGCCAGCCAGTTCCAATTTGTACTTTAGTTTTGTTGCGTAGCTGAAGTCCAATGAGTCCATGAGGCCACATAAAACACGAGTGTATTTGCAGTTTTACCTAGGTCATGAAGCCTTTCCACACCTCCGATTATGGATTTGAAAAAGGCTGTCCAAAACGTTCCATTAGAGCAGTGTCATGCCCCCCTTTAGAAAATTTAAAAAGTCCCCAACTCCTGCAAAAGTGGATTTCATTTTTATCAATCATTAACAGCCCAGTTGATGGAAATAAAAAAAAGATTCAGGTTAGCAAAATAGCCTTGTTTGCTTCATAGCACTGTTTATGCCACCACACAAATCATATTTATGCAACTTTAGGTCTGCTCAACATCCATGCACCTGCCGCAGTGGCACTGTGCCCCGCCAGGGGGTCCCTTCCCCAGTTTGAGAACCACTGCAATAGAGAAAATAAACAGCACCATTCATAAATTATACCTTCAAACTGCAGTCCATAAACTTCTGTTGCTGTTCGCAAGCATGGCTGTTATCTTTCTGTAGCATGGCATGTCTTATATTTCTTATTGTCAACAAATCTCATGTAGGATCCAAACCAACAATCACCTGATGTACTAACCATCAGGGGTGGAAGAAAAGTTGATTCTTAGAAGTATCGCGATATGGACATGGAAGATTCTGAATTTATTCCCAAATGATTCAAAAATGTCAAAAGTGTTAATTGATACCATAATGTTCACAGAACACATAAGGTGGAACTCTCTGAAGTGTGGAAGTGCAGCACCCGGACAGCCTGAGGTGTGCACATTGCAGATCTGCGATCTTTGTTACTGGTCTCAGACCAGTAGAGTAAATTAGGGATGTAAAATTGTCCTTTTAAGCAAAATACACTCGCTCTAACTGAGGTCCGACACTTTCATGGATGCGCTCCATTGACTCTAAAAAGAGTTGTTTTCTAGCTTTTTTTTGGCTGTATTTTTCCAAGATCTGGTCAAACGCTGTTCCTGGGGCACTTGTAATAGTTACAGTCGTTACCCAGAGAAGTTAAAAGGAGAAGTACAATTTATTCTCTTTCCAAAACCTAAAATAAATACAGAAATATGTCGGCTGTGGATTGTTCCTAATGTGATATTAGTGAGCTAACGCTGGCTGACATCCTACTGAATGTAATGTAGTAAAGTCCTACTGTTCTGCTTTTAAATTATTGTAATAATGAATAGAGGCCTACCAGCTGTACAAGAACAGTGTTGATCCTTAATATCGTTGTCTTTTGTCTCAATCGTCGGGGGATGCAGTGGTTCACTTGCACTGTGTGATCGGTAGGTTTTAGCTTCTATTTTACATTTTTTTTCACGTCCGTTTGAGTCAGTTTGACAGCCTGAATACAACCTTCAAATCTATAATGCAACTGCAAAACTGTCTGCTTCTTTAGACAATATTTCTCCGGGGAGTGCAGTAATAGACAGTGGCAGTGCCGACAGTTTGTCGGACTTAGCAACAGTAACTAAGGGGGCGGGGCTTGGCAAAGGGTCAATTGAGGAGACGTTTCTTTTGGATTTTAATGTTCAAATTAAATACTTAGTAATTATCCAGAAATCACATAGGAAAAAAAAGATGTATCAAGATGCTTTGAGAATCGTTTTGTAATCGCATCGCAGCCCTCTGAACCATAATCAAATCGTGAGGTGTTTAGAGATTCCCACCCCTAATAACTGTGTATTGTGTGTGTGTGTGCCCAAAAAATTAATGAATCATCCGCTGCACTGGGTGACATGTTCATTGCAAAGAGTTTGGTCACATTAGTTTGCTTAAAAACAGCTCCAAATAGTACACACAGCGATCAAATTATCAGTCTCCGAAGAGTAAAATACTTACAAAGGACTCCCTTATGAGATTTTCAGGGTCTTCACTGAGGTCAATACGCAGGCTCTTCTTGGTTTAATGGCGTCATTCTGCAGCAAAGAACAAGGGAAATGTGTAAGAGGGGTTATAATATTATTGAATTGCACAGCAATTAACAGAGATGCATCACTGCACAAGCAAAATGTTCAGGCTCCTAAATATCAGCATGCAAGAAGTGAAGTGAAGTGTTTCCTCACACCCCTAGTAATTATTTATATTTTGCAAATAATTATATATTATAATCCAATAAATAGATTACAGAATCTGTGTAAACAACTGAATAAAATTGTCCATCATCCAGATAATGTATTCAATATTTTGTTACATACAAAAGTAAATCAACTGCACAATAAGCCTAGTACTAAGTAAATAAAATAAATAGAACTTGATGAACAGACATTTCTTGGAAAAACACACACCTTGTCCAAGAAGGATATTCCTTGTTTTTAGTCTGGCGGCTCCTCTCTTTTTGTAAAACTCTCATCATCTGGGAGGCATGGTGAACTCGCTGCTGCAAGCTTAGATCTTAGTGGGACAGTGGTGATGTGAGCAACTCTTTTCCACCTACAAACATTTAACAATGACAAATTAATTAAACAAATTGACAAATGTTTTAAAGTTTACAGCAAAACAAAAAACTGACTTACCACTAACTTACTAAAAAAACACAAATGTAACTTAGACCATCCAGCCTTATTTAACAACCACACTTTTACAGTTTTGATTACATAAAGACGTGACAATAAATAAAGGTTATACATCCGTTTGCCTCAGAGCAACAACAGATTCGCTTGATATGTTTCCTGGTTTGTCTGTTATAAAGCTGACAATTGGCTTTTGTAGGGATTTCTGCAATATAAACACACAACTCAGGAACTCTGCTTTGCCCGAAGGACTGCATAACGTTAATATTGTCACAGAAAACGGCTCATGATATGTATGTACAGCTACATTCATAATAATATATCCTACTCACGCACACCTGTCCGCCCTGATAGCAGCCACCTGAGACGATACGCTCCCTCACTCTCACTTGCCCACTCACTCACTCCGTTAGTCTACCGGGCTCCCTCACTCTGCTCCACCATGTTCGTGCCAATAACGTCTTCTCATTCCCAGCTTCTGAGCATGCGCAACATCTGTCCTACGGGAACTCACTTAGGACATTTCGTTTTGATTGTGCGATTCACTCAACACTGTTATGTTGTTTCAAATCAAGTGGGTTTTGTGGCTTTAACAAGTCTTCATTTTAAGTTGAATCTGCTAAAGTGGACTATGTTTAAAACGCTAACACAGACATATTAATTAAATTGGGTATAGGTGCATTTATTTAATTCAACATCTCACAAAGTTCACTTTTTTGAGTGTAGTCCCTTCCACTTTGATCATTTGAGTTAAATAAAATCTTTTATTCTTATATAATAAATACAGAATGCAGGACAGGTTGTAATGCAGCACTCCTAATGTGCAAGAGGACTGTAGTTTAAAGGGTTATTTCACTGACTTTCATCTTTAGTCGGCCTATTTGTGCTTTTTAGTGAGCACTGGCTGAGCTATGGTGAACCTGAGCTACATGGCACCCCTTCGCCTGTGATGTCATATTGATGATCCTTTCCCTCATACATAGAGGGAAAGGATTTATCATTTTGTCACGAACCACGAACCCTGCCGGCATGGTTCAACTCAGGGCAAACATGCCCCTTTAAATGTATATTGTAGTGCATGTACGCTCTAAGCTACTATTGATTTTTGTAATGACCAGTAGTCAAGCCAATTAACTCAGTGTGGCCAAGTTAGAATCAGTGCCATATCAATGTGACAAATATGACAATATTTCTCTTCAGGGAAAAACTTGTCAACAATTGACACATTAAACAGCCATTTACTCCACACATCAATTTTCTCATGTAAACGGATAACAGACTTGCTTCGCAAATCATCTCTACACAGCTGATGC